TGTTTCACTTCAAATCGACCAGTTAACTTGAGCTTTGCTATAATGGAAGAAAGTTGCAAAATTACATATTTAATATTTAATTACCGACAAAATGTGATTCCATTTGTTTTGTAATTAGATGTTTTGCTGTTTTTCCTACACCACCGAATAGAACAGCACGGCATCGTTAGAGATATTATCTTTATTACAATAAATACAGAATATTTTTGGAATATACGGAGTCGTATACACAGGTTAGTAGTTGGCCTGTCTATATTTCAGTGCAAACGAGAGTTGACGCGTTACCATGAACTCTTATTACGATTCAGTTTAGTATCTAAAATGAATCGTTGTGAGGCAGCACTACATGAAGTGTATATGAACCTATACTGAACTGTAATAAGAGTTCATGGTAAGGCCCCTGATATTTATAAGAGCTGTATCGATAATGTGTTACCAGGAATATATGGCCCTTATTTCGTCTCTGTTTCTGGTTATGTACTCGATGGCCAAGAGGCTTGTAGGTGACTCGGAATTAGTAGAGGCGAAGCTGCAGAGCCTTGAACACCGCCGTAAAGTTACCTGCTTATCGGTAATTTACAGGATATATCACGGAGAGTAATAACTACACTTTTGAGAGTGAGAGAGTGCACTAACTACATTTTTGATCACTTTACAATAGAGCAATTTCAAAGTTTCGTATTCAAATCTCAGAAACAACTTTGTGTATATGACTCATTTATAGCATTTATAAAATAGTGTATGATTCGATGGCTCTTAAACTAAACTTGCGGATATATCGGTCAATTAAGATGAAATGGGGTTAGAAAGGATTTTATTAAATTACAGTTTGCAGGTCAAGATACATATATGACCCTCCGTAAATTAGCGACACCACACTCAAAAGAAGATTTATTAACCAATATGAAAGCTTGCACCGATATACAAATTTGGTGTTAAAAGATTTACAAGGAAGAATCCTTGTAAATCTTTGACTAAAAACTGTACTTAGTCACGTTCCTAGGTCCCACACGCCCTGATCGCATCACATAAGTGACACACATACAGTTTGGTATTATAATAATTACGACACATAATTATGAGTCCGCAAAACAAATGATATTGCAGCGAACTGTGACTAACTGTAATACTATAAAATTACCGTCACCATACCTTTTCAAAGTCTACATCCCAAAGCCACGAAATATTTGGAAGTCACTATTGCATGAAGCGCAAGCTATCAGCCGTGTCGCGGTGCTGGTGTGGTGCGTATGTAGTAGTGTCGGCGTATTCACTTGTAATTTACATAAGTATCTCAGTACCGTGACTTTGGTTTTAAAATTTTCGAATTTCCGTTCCCCTGTTTGTAAATTACATTTTCAAGGAATGTGTTGACGATTCTTGAAATAAAAGAATTATGAATACGATATTCGAGTACTTACTATCACTTCCAGTTCTAGATTTTTTTAAGAACATGGTTTGTGTTCCAAGTAGTTTTCTAATTATCGTTGTATGAAAATAAAAAAGTTTTAAATATTACATACGATTTGTAATCATTACCACTAAGAGGTAGGTTCTGCTAGGTTAATATAAATAATAAATAAAAATATAATTATAATTAATAATAATATTACCTATAAATGCTATTAAATTTCATTCTCTGCCTATTCTATTCAATGATGATTGAATATTTTGTTTGACACACAATTTAAGAACAATATAAAACATCTTGCATTAATGGATCTTTTCACGTTTCCACTATTCTTAAAATTCTTTTTTGTAATGGTGTTGCGTTTGTTTACATTTTTGGACTACGATTTCATCTCAGAGTTTAGATGACTAACCTTTCACCAAAGTAAACTTTTTAGTAAGTCACAAACAATGCAGTAAAACTTTTTCGGGAAATCTGGATTTCGAAAAAGTAATTAATTAACATTTGGTAATGTTAATACTTCTATCTATCTTCTATTAACATTATACATATATTTAGTTTAGGTAAAATGCCGCTAGATGGCGTTGAACGTTTTATGTAATTTTCTAAAACGCGCTATTGAGTTGTTCACGGAAATTGTATAACTGTGGAGTGATTTACAAATAAAAAATGTGAGGCCCGCTACTTAGCTCTAAGTTTATTTTAGGGGTTATGAGCCTTCAGCTCGCCCTTTTTTTCTGGTGGCGCAGTAAAGGCCATCAGCGGCCAACTTCAAAATAACCAAACAAAAAAAAAATGTGCCATTGGAACATACAGGCAGTTTCATTTTGAGTATTTTTGTGACGCTACATAGGTAGTTTTAATCACCTGACACTCCTTGTACCTATATGTACATAGACATTTAGGTATATACTCATTTGGAACCACTAACCTAATGTTTGGAACACTTCATTTTGACCAATGCTTATCATTACCACCCACAGACATATATCTAAATAGACGCCGCACGTGTACGTACTTCGCGTGCCCAATGTAAATGAAATACACTTAGTTGCCACTGCTCTGCTACACTTCAGAATAGACTGGTGCCTGATCGGTCCATAGAGGGGGCGATCCTAGTTATTGTAGTTCTATCGGTCAACTGAACTAGGTCGGTTTTCTACTTCATTTAGTTCATAGATAGATAGATAAAACGTTTATTAGGATCTATAGACACACATACATAACAGAAAAATATGTAATAGAATAAAAAAACAGCAGAGTCGCAGCACTGCCGAACACCCAGTTATATGTGTATGCTGTAGCAGTGCAAAAAGGCCATAGCTCAGCGTCGGTGTTTACTCAGGAGCAAACCGCTGATTTTCAGCTATAACCTAGAGGATTCCGCGGATACGATAACCAGCCAGCTGACGCCATTTTCATGTTGTATAAATTAAACAAATAATAATTTCGAAACTTAATAAATACGGAAGATAATATAAACATAATAAATAATATTTTTTTAGATTTGATTTAACTATGTTAATAATATAACCAAATTATAAATTGAATTATATGCGATTATTATATAAAAGTCAATTTAATTATAAATAGGTATGTTGTTATTACACGATACTATGCAGGCAATTTTCGCTACCTAAGCAAAGCGCTGTGGAATACCCTTTTTTTGAGAGGCTAGAAGAAGCGCCTTTACCGTTTTCTTGAAAGTACATTTAGATTTTAGAAGTCTTAAAGGTGGTGGGATATTACTCCAACACCTTGTTGCGTGGTAGCGAAAACTGCCGGTGAACGCTGCTGTTCGATGTCGCTGTACGCTTAGCGGGGCGCGTAGTGATCTGGGCTTATGGTAGTGTAGTTTATAAAAATGGGGAAATTGTAATTTTGAAAAAGATATTCGGGATTTTTGAATTTAACAATATCAAACATTTAAGAGGCGAGATGTAACTGTCTGCGAGATTCCATATTGAGTATACAGGCATTGTTTAGAAAAGGCGTGATACATCGAGTACATAACCAGAAAGACATACTCGATGGCGTGATATGTCTCTTAGGCGGAACATCAAAAATAAATCTACAACATGCATTCTGCACGCTTTATATTAAGCGACTTGTTTTGTATAATAGTCGAGGGTCATAAAGACGATCTTCGTAATTGAGGCGAGATAACAGCAGTGACTCGCATACAGTGATCCTCACTCTCTCGGATAATAAGTTTCTAATTTTATACAAGACGTTCAATCTATAGAAACAGCTCCTTACAAAATTATCTAAGTGTCTTTCGAAACGTAGTTCGCTGTCTAACAGAACACCTAGACTTCTAACTTCCTGAACCAGGGAAATATTTTGACCCAGAATACTAACTACTGGTGACTTATTTAAAATTTTCTTAATCTGAACCTTTGATCCAAGCACCATAAACTTCGACTTATTAGTGTTTAGTACAAGCGCGTTTCTGACTGACCATTCAGCTATCGCGCTTAGGTCTTCGTTAAGCAGCTGTAACGCATCTGATATTCTCTCAGGCACTTCAGAGACATATAACTGAACATCGTCAGCGTTTACGTCATTGTAACAGTGCGCTGTCTTTACAAAAACCTGGAGTTGATCATAGGTATTAGTTCATTGCTTTCAAGGACGAAGGTGGTCTAGTTTATCCCACCTAAGATGCTATCCAAACATGCAGAGTAGCAGACACACACGGAACTTCACACGGGGCCGTCATTAAGTAAACCTCTTCTGATTAAAAAGATTTTACCATATTTTGTCAGCAGTAACATTCTCATTTGTCTTGGCATTCATCAATTTGATCAATTACCAACAGAAAACCATCTAGTAAAATTAATTAAGGCAGTCGCAAGTTCAAGTATTGACATGCGTTTTCATTATTTAAGTTAATCGTAATAATATAATAATCTCATTTTATTGGAAGGACAATAATTTTAATATTTGAAATCAATTAAAAATATAAATAAAATTATAAATAACCGACTACTTATTTAGAGCTTTTGGAGACGAAACCCTTGGCCCGCGGGGTCCCAGTGCCCTTCATCTGTATAAAATTTTATCGAAAAAATTAATAGACTGTCTGGGAAACCCAAGGGCCGGCTACCTTGCCCAACGCATTAGCATAGCAATACAAATGGGAGAATGCTACCAGCATCTTGGGCACCTTGACGCGGGGACCCAATTTTTTATTCATGTAATTTAGAAATCCTAGTTTGACTTCCTACTAATTAAGCTTTTATTGTCTTCTTTTACCTTACCTGTATATTATCTTAATTAAATAAAGAACATTTCTTTAAAAAAAAATTGTTAAAATAATGCGTTAAAATAATTTCGTCATTGTTCAGGAATTCTCACAAATACTTTACTTCCAATTATTCTAATGTTTGACTCATCTGGTCTTCTTTCAGTAAGTATTTCATATGGTGTCTTTTTAATCGCTGTATTCATTAACAATCTATTTCCTATATATATGCCGCTGTCTCTACACATATCGGCCAGTATTCTTTTTCAATTTTTGCTTCTGATAATAAATATCTAGCTCTGTCCATTACTGATCTATTAAATCTTTCTGCTACTCCGTTTAATTCATGTGTATATGGTGGACATGGATTTATGGTATATATATGGTACATACCTTTTTCTTTACCCAATCTCTACATATCTTTATTGATGTATTCTCTTCCATTATCACATCGCAGCTCTTTTATACTTTTCCCAGTTGCATTTTCAACAAAATTCATGTATTCCAAGACACATTCCAACACTTCACTTTTGTATTGAATGCAAAAAACTTTAGCAATCCTACTATAGTCATCGATAAAAGATAGAAAATAAATGGTGAATACCATCAATACCTGTGGGATTTACTGGACCATTTACGTTCTATTTCTAAAACTTCATTCGCTCGTCGTCGATTGTTCTCAAAAGGTAAATTAAACATCTTATTCTGTAAGTAAATTCAAACCTGTATATAATCATTTTCAATTTTTTTGGGTAAACCGTGCAATAATTTTTGAACACATAACTTTTTTAAATTTATAAAATTGGTGTGCCCAAGAACTCTGTGCCATTTTTCCTTTTCTGACATTTTACAAGTTGTGTGTGATTTTACAAATTGTTACCTATTTTACCATTCAATAAGTATAATTTTTTTTTTTCTCTGCAGCAGTTACTAAAACATTATTAGGCCCATAAATTTTGGCCGCATACCAATCTAATATTATATAATTATTATAGTTAACAATGGAAAACACATTTAAAAAAATTTTGCTTCATACCTGACACTTAATAAACATTTGTATTTTTGTTTCAAGCCATTTGCCTTTTACACAAAAATACATCATTTCCTAATTTACTCGCTTTCAAAGGAACACCATCTCAATGTCGACTGGACAATCTAAATCTTTAAAATCTGAAAAATATTTATCATTATTTATAATGTGATCAGAATAGCCACTATCTAGTAACCATGTCAAATTTTCAGTTACTACAAGCTTCACTCACTGGATATCTCTCAGAAGACATCACTTCAACATTAAATGTCGATCCTTTCCCAGTATACTCCTCACCTTGGTTTAAATAGCATTCTCGAGTCATACCTTGGGTTTCATTTATGCCTCGAATATAACGTTTTCCTCGGAAGTTACTTGGTCGTCTGTAATTATGACCTCTCCAGTTCTGATATCCTTGTAAGTTACTGTTCCCTCTAAAGTTATAATTTCCGCGCCAATTTGGAATAAATATTCTATTTCTTGGGCAGTCTCTTTGGAAGTGGCCCGGTTGATTACACTTTCCAGTTTACAGTTTCCTATTTGTAATGTCGACATTTTTTTTGCAAATATTGAAAGATTCCATTCCTTTCACATCACTCTCTTTCTCTTCCTTTTATCTGTATTGCAGAAGCAATTTAGCCTTAATATATTCTACCGATTTTTCTGGTAATGCATCAACAATGTCAACTATATGTGAGTAGCTGGGTGGAAGACTCAATAGTAATTTGTCTTCTTCAGTAATTTTCTCTCTGGTATTTTTAATTCAATCATATTCTTCTCGAACAAATCTAAAAATTCGACTGGATTGTCATCATCCGCCATTTTTAATTTAAACAATTTTCTTTTGCACAGCAATTTGCTTGCACATGTTTTTGCTTGGCAAATTGTATCAAACTTTTGTATCATTTTAGCAGCTTTATCTTCAGATATTATTTCTAATTGAGTGTCGCTTACGCTGTTAATAATACAATTTTTTGCTTTTAGCAACCCAATCAATGTTTGAAATATTTATATTTCATAATTATTTCCGTTGAATATTTGTATACAAAATTCTTCGTTCTTTTGACATTTTATTTCTCAAAATTTCTTACTTTTATTCATTGACCTACTAATAAATGGACGTCGGGTTCGCGCGAAAAAGTGTCCGCACCTGTAGGGCGTTAAAATCGCATACAGATCAATCGCGCAAAAGTCTTCGTTTGCTCGACTGACAGCGCGGTTGTCAATCATGCAGTACCAATATTATAACTTGTAAAAATTACTGCAGTAAAGTGTTAAAAGAGCATTTTGTATCATATTTTCGCTAAACAAATATATTGTGTTGTCATAGTTCTCATTTTAAAGTGTTATTTTGTACAGTTTTATAGTACATATTTAATTTATTTACAAATGAATCGTAAATATAAATGACAAAAGCACACAAAATCAATGTCCTTTTCCTACACATTGCATGCGCAAAAGATGGAAAGAGACCCATTACATCAGTTTCAAGAAGTTTATATAAACTTCTTGGTCATTTTCAATTGGTCGAACCACAAGCGATTGAAATATTTAGAACAAAGAAACTATATAATAGTTGTTGATTTTAATCTTATTTTTTAAATACTTTTTTTTATGAAACGTTAGCAGTAACTAATAAAATATTATTGTACTCGTTTTAAGGCTTTACCTATCAGACGTCAGAAAATACATTTGCCCGAAATAGTATTAGCTCGAATTCTCATAATGTCAAATGTATTTTTTTAGGAAGATTACAAAACAAAAGCTAATTTTGGCTTTGTGAAAAGCATCGAAATTACTCGAAAGCGTAACGGTTTTATTACAAATAATTTTTCGGAATTACGGATATTTGAGTTTACATTTAGTTGAAATATTGGTACATTTCTTATAGTACACGCTTATTTTTACATTTGTAGTAATATTTGTATGTATGTATCTGCCCAACTCTTTATATAAAGATTATTTAAATCTATATATAAAGATTAATTAATATTTACTAGAAAGGCTACTCCGTCACTATTGTGTTCAAGTAATTTTCAGTCGAAGCTGAATATAGTGTTTTTGGGCCCTTAAATTGTTGCAAGCAAAATTAGGCAGTACTGCAATGACGTTACAATTTAAATTAAATGTTTTAGTTTTTTATATTTCGTTACATGTCACTACATTTGTATAGGTTAACTTTAGACTTTTCATTCGTGGTTTTTGTATTAGACCCGATGTCCATTTATTAGTAGGTCAATGCTTTTATTTGTAAAATAGTTTATTGTGTTCAGTCGGCAAATGAAACATAATTTTTCTTGAACTACATCTTTTTCTTATGCTCTGCTACCATGTTGAAATAATACGTTATATTTCTAAATAATGAAATTCAAATTAACCTCCACCATTTTTACACAGAAACCCTCCAAAGACAAAACAAAATACTAGAACATAAAGTAAACCTTACTTTCTTTAATAACTTCGGAACATAGCCTTTTGTGAAACTAAATCATTCTTCCAAAATAATTAGTCTTAATTTTTTTTAAGTAATCAACATTTTTTAAAAACAAGTAAAATAAAGGACTTATCTTATTCTAGTATTTTTCTACGATATTAATATTATGACTACTTGTAATGAACAAATACTTCAACAAAAATTATTCTATTGAGAATTTGATTCAATGAATGGAATACACATGTTTACACATATTCCGTTCGAACAATCAATTTAGAGCGGAAGGAGGTTTCCCATCACAAAATAGGTCTTGTGATGTCGGTACAAAAAATGTGGCACGCTTGGTTTTCATACAAATTGCTGTGCTTGCAGTGTCTATCTAGATATATGTCTGTGTTACCACCAAAGGTCACATTAAATTAGTCTCAATAATAATTTAAGAGAGCAATCGTTATTTTCTGACAAGGGGAGAAGGACAGACAGAGATCTTTAGTGCAAATGAAAAATATAATTCAACCAGACTATTAGTTGTAAATAATGTAGGAGATTACCTCGCAACAGAACTCATGTGGTCAATGTATGAGTTGGGGATTTCATTATCGCAGGTTATGTTTTATATTAATGCAGAGTCTCACCAATTTAGTTTGAATAGGGTATGGTAATTAACACAAAATTCCCCCTAAAAAATTGCTTGTATTGCGATAGGAAGGAGTCCCTTGCGACTTATGATCTTCGTTCTCGCACTCTTTCTCCTCCCCTACTGCCAATCTGTACATTTCTGCTAATATATTATAATGTGAAAGTGTCATGTGATATTAATGTAACACAGTCACCTGGATCGTCGGCGCAGTTTCCCATCTTGTCGATGAGTTGATCTGCGTAATAATTGTCCATAACATAACCAGGCTCCAGTATCTTCTTAAACAGCAGTCGGATTTTGTTCTGCGTTTGTATGTACTCCATGGTGCTCGAATAAGAAGAGTTAACGTTGTAAATGTTGCACAATATTATCTCATTTATCGGAAAATATTTATAAACATTCGGACACGTTTCGACCGCGTGAAATATCTAGGGCCTAAAACAAATCGCGTCGATTAATAAACAATGCGTACTGAAAATAATAATACAAATACATAACTATAAAACAAACACCACCTAAATAATATTTCCTCCATGTAGCCAACGGCAGCGGCAGTTTTACACTATACGAATAATATAAAAATTATAAACAGTGTCAGCATCAGCACAGACTATAATAGTGTCAGTAATGGGTAAAACGATCCTCTAAGGTAAAACGATTTCGACTCGACATAATCTACACTAGAGATGGGAAAACTCAAGCTTCTTGGAAAAACTGAATATTTTACGTTTAAGCGTTGTAGCTTTTTTAAAAAGCGTCCTTTTTTATATGAACGCCTGTACGCTTAAAATAAAAAGCGTGCTTATGTGGTTATCACAAACCACTAATACATTTAAAAAGCAAACTTTTTAAAGCGCTTTTCGTTTAAACGCCCAGTTACAGTATTACTATCATTATTATTATTATATTTATTTATTATTATTATATCTATTTTAGGCTCTCGCCTCTCCTAATTACTATTATTAGTAGGGTGGCTTCATTCAGGGCCTATGCATCCCCTCATCGCTGCGACCATTGACTGATCTATTGTGATCACCACTAATTACAGTGCAGAGCCAAGGCCGACAGCATTGAAGAACTGAAGGACTTTCCTGGCTCCGACAGATTTAATGTCCTCGGGTTCTGGCATATGCCTTCCCAGTACGGAACTTCGTACACCCATCAGAAGGTAGCAGTGGGTGAGTAGATGAGCAGGAGTTTCATCCGCCTTGTGGCAGAATCTACATTCTCCATTCTCTCTCTGCCCAATATTTGACATGTGCTTGTTTAAGCCACAATATACTGTTAAGGTTCTAATGAGCATTCTCATGCCATTTCTGGCCAATGACAGAGTTTCTCTACTGTGTTTAGCACTGTACGCAGATATCAGGACCTTTGAATGCTCAAGACCCTTGCTTTGTAGCAGTGTTGGGCTTTAATGAATTAAATCAGAAATTCAATCAGATAAAAAAAATCTATTCAATTGAAATCAATTCAATTCAATTCAATTCAATTGAATTTAATTGCAATTGATTTTAATTGCAATTGATTTCAATTGTATTGATTTTAATTGCAATTAAATTAATTGCAATTAATTTTTTTAGTTGTTCTAAGAAACAATTGAAACTAACATTTAAAACCGAAAGTACTGAATAAAAGTGTCATTACTAATATGTGTTAGCGGGTGGGTTAAGGGGTCGGTTGGGGGGTCGGTTAGGGAGCCGGTTGGGGGGGCAGTAGTTTGGCCGGTTGGGGTGTCGGTTGGGGGGCCGGTTGGGGAGCCGGTTGGGCGGCCGGTTGTGGGGCCGATTGGGGGCCAGTCGGGGGGCCGGTTGGGTGCCGTTTGGGCGGCTGTCAGGAGTGTGACCCAGCCCCTAACCCAACCCACCCACACACCCACTCACCCACCCACTCAAACCCACTCACTAACCCACCCCCATATGCCCTATAAACTTATCATAATTATCAGTTTTAATTGTTAATTGTTAATCAAAAACATTGAAAAGACTGAAAATTGATTAATTGTTAATTGTAGATATACGCGATTAACGATTAACATGAATAACGAAATTGATCATTATATAGTCGATAATTAATCGTTAATTGCTGTTTCGCAATTGACGATTAATTAATTGTCAATCTTTAATTGCCAGAACAATTAAATTTTCCCCAACACTGCTCTGTAGCCACACACTTCTCGGGAGAGATGTGTGCTCTCGTTTAGCAGAGTGAGCTTTGCCAGACAATATGCTATCCCTAAGAAGGGTTCGGCTCCAATAAAGGTTTCCCTAGCACCGCCTTTGCCAGTTCATCCGCTGACTCATTACCCTCGATGTCAGAGTGGCCTGGAACCCAGCGCAGGACCACTGTATTACTTTCCCCGAGAGTATTCAGTATATTTACAAAGTTTTCTACAATCCTCGATGTTTGCGTGACTGAGGCTTGTGCATGTAGAGCCGCTTGACTATCTGAGTTTATGTAAATATACTTGTCAACGTAGCCTCTCTTCAGGTTCAAATCTGCACAAGTAATTATGGCGTACACTTCGGCCTGAAAGATAGACGAGTGTCGTCCCATGTTCAGCTTGTAGCTGAGCCTGGACCTCACGCCGTGTATACCACAGCCTACCTTAGACCCATCGGTATACCATAGGAGGCTACCGTCCTTCCAGGTGAGACTGTTAGTTTCCCAGTCCTCTCTAGTTGGAAATTCTACCTGGTAGAGGTTTTTAAAGTTTCGTTTGGGAAGCATGACATTAGAAGTAATTCCCAGAACAAAGTGTTCCAGAATTGAATCTTGGGCTGATCTCAATGTCTGGGAGAGCCATCTACTCCTTAACCTAGTAGTAAGCCTGTACATGCTGGTGCTGACCTCTCTCTGTATGAATAAATGCAGAGGAGTCAGGTTCAGCAATGCATTTTGGGTCGCCCCAGGTGTGGTGGACATGGCTCCCGTTGCTAGCAGACACGCGATGCGCTATAGACTGCCCAATGTGACAATTGTGGTTGTTTGGCTGACTTTAGCACTCCAAGCAACAGTGGCGTAAGTCACTATGGGTCTCACAATTGCCCTATATAACCAGAAAGTCATCTTTGGTTTTAGACCCCAACGCTGTCCCGCCATACGGCTACAGATACCTAAGGCCATTTCGGCCTTGTTGGCCGTATTAGGTTTATGGCGGTTCCGCCTTAGGGTTTGATCTAGGGTTGTCCCTAGATATTTGACTTCTGCGTAAAAGCCCACAGCCCTGCCACCAAAAATCGGTTCCACTAGCTTCCGTTCTAGTTTCCGTCTCCTGGTGAAGGGGATAACGGTTGTCTTTTCCTCATTGATTGATAAATCGTTATCTTAACACCACGCGGAAATGGTGTCAAGTGCTCCTTGCATAAGTACTGATATAGTACTTTGGCAGTGCCCTCGAAATGTGATCACCAGGTCGTCCGCATATCCCTGAGCGTCAATATTCAGTTCAGCCAACCTATACAGGAGCTGATCCACAGCAAGAGTCCACAGGAGAGGAGAAATTACCCCACCTTGTGAGCAACCCCTTACTGTGGAGGCCACAAGCTGGTCCCCATGTAACGAGATACTGGCCCTGCGGCTTAAAAGCACGTTCTGTATCCATCTCGTAGTTGAAGTGTCTACACCTTTGCAGGTTAGGCCTTTCACCAGAGTACGGATGGGTGTATTGTCAAATGCACCCTCAAGGTCTAGAAAGGCACGTAGTGCTATTTGTTTGTCCTCAAACGCTCTTTCAACCCTGTCTACAAGGTGGAGCAGAGCTATCTCTGTGGACTTTTCACTCTGGTAGGCGTGTTGAATGTGATGGATAGGACTATATATTAAGGACGAAGCCCTAATATAATTGTCAAGTACCTTTGCCATTGCCTTAAGCAAAAAATTAGGTTTGGCAGATATGTCTAAACGACTTAGCAAGAGAGTAGTCCTTTCTGCCTACCTTCGGTATCAACACAACTTTACACGTCGCCCATTGCATCGGTATGTGTCCCCAAGCAAGACTGGTTCTGTATATCTTGACCAGGTATAGCAAGAGTATACTCATGCCTTGCTGCAGTAAGATGGGAGTAATACTGTCCTCACCTGGGGATTTATACGATTTAAACGAGCTTATGGCCCAAGTCACTTGTCGGGGTCTTATTATGTTGGCGGCTATGTTCCAGTCTTCGTTGCGAGTTGAATGTAGCGTCGTTGCTGGATTAGTGGGCGTGTCGCACAAGGCCCCCGGGAAGTGGGTTGACATTAAAAGGGTTTCTGTCGTAGAAGTCGAGAAGGTCCCATCAGGCTTCTTTAACAGTTCTGGTTGATGGGAATTGGCTTTTGCGAGCAGTCTGTGTAGACGTACACCTTGAGAAGCACTAGCGATCTCCTCACTGAACCGCCGCCACTGATGCTCGCTTGGCCTTCCTTATTTCCTTGTTATAGTTAGTTAGGGCCCTCCTGTAGGTATCCCATTCTTTCGTTAGTTTGGCGCTTCGAGTTTTGTCCCTTAGCTTTCTTCAAAAGCGCTGATGATTCACCACAATCACAACCTACCAGAAGTTCTGCTTTGTGTGTTCGGGCGTATTCCGCCAGTCGTGTCAGATCTTCAGTGGGATTGTTCTTTTCTCGCGTTCTTTTCGAGCATACGATTATCTTGGCCTGAGTGCTACTCCGGGGAAATAGATATGTCGCTACAAAGTCATCAGTACAGAACACTGGAACAGGCATAATGTTAATTGTTTTGTTATAAACAACCTGAGCGCTGGATTTCGACACCAGGGTATCCGAAGGACCCGCCTGGTTCAAATCCATAGCCGTGACCGAAGTCACGTCGTTGTTGCTTGGTGGACTGTCCATCTCAGCAATCATTTCCTCCAAGGAGGAGATTAATGTGTTAATATTTATGTCTTCTTTCTCCATACACGTCTCACGAGAATCTAGGGAATTAAAAGGTCACAGCCAGCAGAGCCTCGCTTGCCGGCTGAAGGACATAAAGTTCCCCCAAGGTGCCCTGGTATCGGGGGTGCACCGTTAGCAGCTGAGCTCCCCCCAGTCACGCATCCGTAGGCACGGTACGCTTGACACCCTTTGATTGGGTGACGACACTTTTGCTAACGTCTAGCAAATGCCCGAACAAAGTCCAATCATTTACTAGGAGTTGCCCAGGATGCACCGGCTCATGCAATTGGATTTACATAGGAATGGAAGCCACTCGCTCGCATGGAGGTACGTACGTTAGGTGGTATCTAGTTTAACTTTTTTAATTTTGGTTAAATAAAATTACCATAAAGGTAATAATATGCTTTTACTGTAATAATACAAAAGAATATATCAACAATGAAACCTTCTATTATAAAGCAGCATATAAAATAAGTGTACTTTTAATTTGTATTATGAAATAATATTAATAGCTTTGGTCATCCATAAGCGGCCACATTTTCTGTAAAATTTAAAAAGTTAAAAACAATGTGTCTGGCTGACACATGAATGAACACCCAATTACACCGCGTTGACACTATTTGTGCTCGCTATACACGAATGTTTCATCGAAGCAATCGACGAAACATTCGTGTCGAGTGGTTGAAATGCGTTCTCACATTCGTGCGAATGGCGATGTGAATAGCGATGCGATACACAACTAGTGTTGTTAAAAAACCGTTATTTTTCTGAGGTGAAATAATAATAAAAAAAACATGAAGTTAAGTTAAAAAACATTCTAAAAGAATGAAAATAAAAATATGACAATATCGTCTGCATAAAGGTAAAACCACATATGTAGGTGACATTCCACAAATCCACAAAAAATCTCCAATATATGTACCTGTTGTAAGAAATTCACAATCTTTCTGCAGACAAAACCACTTATTGAGTTTATAGCTTTTTCCCACCCCTCAAATCGTGCGATGGTAATGTACAGTCCTTCCATCGCATGTAATTTTCCATATTATTCGGCAGCTAAAATTCGAATACATAATTATTACATTACATAATTAAAGGCACCAGTGAATATAACACAACATTTACTATATAATTATTAACACGTGCTTCGATCTATGTATCACTCACTGCATAAAGTGTACTTACGTCGAAGTGATCCTCACAAAAATATATCGCTGAATTTACAGACATTTCGTCGTGCTAGGACCAACCATTTTTTTCGTATGTCGGATTTTCGAGGTACATCAATAAATAGTTTATTTGGGGTAGTTATAGAAGTATTCCTACATTGAGGTACTACACACCAACGATATGTTTTCCGTTCCATAACGACTTCAAACTTCACAAAAACTTTAAAATAACACCTTGCCCTTGATTTCGTAGCTTGTTTACCTACAAATGACGTCACGCGTTCAATTTGACATTTTGTTACGTTTGCGCGCCAATTTGTTTCTATTTAAATTTTAACGTAGTTTTAGCACATTTTAGAGACTATTAAGCTTTATTTTAATAAAATATGATTTTTCATGGCTGTACATATCTATTTTAGTTAATTCTAGACACTTTCTGAAAAATTGTCCGATTCCCTATTACATAATCGTCATTCGTTAAAGCATTTATTTCCGATTTACATGACGAAATCACGTTTACGACGTTGGCTCCAGGTTTACAGAAACAGAAAACATTGTATTTGGTTCCCAATAGTTCTTGCAGTATATGTTGAGTTCCAGTGCCTTGCTCATCGGCCAATATTATTACCCTATTTTTTTGTTGCACGACCGGTCTTTCTTTATTGTTTATTGTGTTTGGTTTATCATTTTCATTATGATTATTAACAAGTTCATTATTACTTATTTTCTCCATTGTCTGTTGCTCGAGGTCTTGTGAGTAATTTAACTTAGTAGTATTTTTAGCAGGCTTTTACGTTTCTTTCGCGCCGATGAATGATTTTTTACGGTAGATGTACATATCCTTTTCATGTGCCTAATTTAATTCTCTTGTTTAGAATTTGTTTTTTTTTTAAATTATTATTTTCCGACAGTAAGTTCTCTATTTCCTGTTCAGCAGATGCTAAGTCTGACTGCAATTTAAGTATAATATCTTTCATTTGATCTGTTGTTAATATTCAATTCTGGGCAACTTCGTTGTAATGTGCAGTTATCATTTTTCTGTTCCTGCGATTCCCCACATGATTCATCACTTGATAAGATGCTAAACGTATTCTCAATTGGTATATTAACATGTACTTTCTCTCTGACGGTTACGAAGTTTTGCGATGTTGAGGACTGAGGAGACTAAAAGTTGGAGGGGGTGTGGTCATAGGCGGTGGTGTATGAAAATGGCCATCTTCCTTTTGACCGTGCAAAAAGCACGAGTTGCATTTCCAATTTGCCTTACTTCCCGCGCTCATTAAACAAAATAGCTTGGACGCGTTAGTACAATCAATACGATATTGACCCTTACACACTACGCAGCATAAACATTGCCTGTCATGTATATTTCTTTTACATTTTGTGCACAACGTTTCCATTCTATACAGATTTTTCTTAACCAAAACTGTACTCCAAAATCTCAATAAGTCCAGTTTATTATTTATTTCTAGGGTGATTTTTTTTTTGTTAAACCACGTCAAAAAATAAACAAAAAACAGATTCCTTATTTTTTTAAATAAAAAATAAAATATTTCTGTATCACCCGGTCAGGATCGAACGCGCAACCTGGATACTAAAGGCAACCGCAACAGCCATTAGACCAATACGACGCTGCATGGAGTGGTGAATTTGTTTCAGTGCGGCTCAATGCGCGTGCGGTTCGTTACGTAATGCGTTGTGTTGTTGACATCATTTTTATGATACCCACATTTTGTGTTGTGAGGTGTTTGTGTTTTCTGTGCGAGTTGTATTGAGTGATAAGCTAATAAGAACTTACGGAAACAAATGCAACTAACTAGTACTTGAGACTGTGTAAACATAGTTTTGTTTGTGGCATGCTTCGTGGAAATGCCTCTAATGCACTTCGACTTTACAGGATTGGGTTTACGTTTCTATTCTCAACGTGATGTGAGAAAACACACGTTTGGAAGTGCGAACGGCAGCCAAACGTCTACGGAGACTAAACGCGCTCGGTGTCATTGACTACATTCTACGTTCAGACTGAACGCGGATTGAAGACTCACGCTTATATGCACTTCGTTGCACTCATTACATTGCGCGTCCTAAATAAGAGCCGTTTTTAATACCTAAAAATAAAAGTAGTTTCCATCATTAATGTATCTTAGTCTGATGTACACTATACGTATGTTTCGGCTTCGTTTAAGGGTCCTTTTACACCGTATATTAGCTACTCTAAAATCATAAGTGTAATTTTTTAATTATTTTTATTCAAACGTTCTAGCAATATAGATTATTAAGTACGAACTAAAGCTAAATCTATTCAATTTCTACAACAGCTCCAACTTTAGTGAGAGCCACTTTGAGCTTTTCTGCTTCGTCTTTGGAGATATCCGCCTTTACAATCGTTGGAACACTTTCAACGAACTTCTTCGCCTGGACCAGGTTAAAGCCTTCAAGGAGACTCTTCACTTCTTTAATCAGTGCCACTTTTTGTTTCTCGTCAAATTTAGACATTTTTACCTGAAATAAAATAAATATGCATATTACCACCTTAAAATTGTGTTCGCAATGTGGATTTCATTGCCATTACCGAGGCCAATCTGGAAATGAACTCTGCAAGCTGAAGGAAGAACGTGCATAAAATGTTCAAAAACTTGACTTCTTGAATATTTTCTCATCTCTTCTCTTGATCATATAAATATTATTAATCTAATGTTTATTTCAAATAATTTTATGTAACATAAACTTTTTCAGATAGTAATTCAAGTAATATAACAAATGTTTAATATAAACTTACATTCTATAATTTAATTTTTTACAACAATCTTTAACTGTAACAATTGAATTTTAAATAATAATTTCCTATATAGAGTGAAATAAAGAATATTTGTATTGTTATGTATAAGTTTTAAACCTCAGTTTACACTAAATAGATTGTTAAAGGTTAATTACAAGAAATACCTTTATGGGATAAGCTCGTCTTTGTACACTAATATTTTAAATTGTTTCTTAAACTATGAAGTCTTAAACGTGTAAAGTTTATTATTGTATTTGTGTGGAAAACCACATCGGCGTGTGACCGGCACACCCAGGAATGAGACTGGAATATCTGCAAGAGTAAAGGGGACGTGGATAAATCGAACATCCTCTTAATTTAAAGTAAGTTCAATGTTTTTCAATTACCTACTCAAGTGAGAAAACTTTTATTTCTTCTGCGAGTGCCAATGACACGAACGCCGCCTGTGAGGCAGTAGATGTACTAACACGATTGATTCGCTTTGGGTTATTGCACCGCGAAAGGTTTAAACGTGGACGAACATTTTTCAACTGCTCTGATTTTACATTTAAAGTAAATAAAACTCATGTAAGAAGGGTGCCTAACGTGATATTTTCGGCTTTGTTGGGCGTGCCGTTCCACCCTGTATATACAGGATGTATATTTGAAAGTGGGACATACTTATAGAGTGCGTTATATTCCTGATTCTGAACCTAAAGAAATAATAAACTAATGAACTTAAAGTTTACAAAAAAATTTTTTTTTTATCGACTACTACTTGTGAACACATTAAACATTAGTTATCGAAATCTATGCACATCACTATTATTGCTCCGATGCAATGGCGAGCTGCGGCACGGCGGCGAAAATCAAAGCACAGGACGGGGGAGGGGGCGCGGGCGCATTGAGACGAGTTAGTAGTGACGAGCAATGCTAACGCACAAAATAGGCAACGCGACTCGCTGCCTAAGGGCGCTCCCTCACCGAGAACATTCGCCTGTAATGTAACATCCAAGATTCGTTTGCATTACAGCAATTACAAGCATTACATTACAAACTACCGCCCTCAACGGCGAGCATTCGCCTGTGAGCATTCGTTTTTGAGCATTACATTACAAAGTACCTCCTTCACCGACGAGCATTCGCCTGTAATGTATAACAACCCAAGATTCGATTAGACTGCGATTCCACCAGAGACATGCGTGGTAGCAAGGCGTGCGTTCGAGTGCCTGTGAGAGCCCGCGAGTGCTTGCGAGTGCTTGCGAGTGCCCGCGAGTGCCTGCGAGAGCCCGCGAGTGCCTTTGAATACCTGTTAGTGCCCGCGAGTACCTTAGAGTGCCAGCGAGTGCTTTTGAGTGCCTTTGAGTGTCCGCAAGTGCCTTAGAATGCTTTTGAGTGCCAACAAGTGCCTGTGGTGTGTTTGAGTGAGCGCGAGTGTATTTGAGTGCTTTTGAGTGTCTTTGAGTGCAAGCGAGTGCAAGCGAGGGAGAGAGAGATAGATTGATTAATAAGTAATTATAATATTGTGTACAAAACGAAATAAGACAAAAATAAATTTAAAGTATTACATGCATTGTTGTCGTTTGGATTAAATCTGTATTTTGTTATTTTTACTTTTTAGTGTAGTAACTTTTTGAGGTTTTTGAAGTTGGTTAAATTTTTTTAAAAAAGTTTGTTTATACTCCGCAGGCCGAGCTCGACCCCATCTACATACATACATACAAACATAAATAAACTTGATGTAAAATATGTTCGGAAACGCAAACAAAATCGGTTTTGCAGTTTCGTTAATACCTAACCTACTAGAGGAGGGGCAGACATTACAAGTAGGTACATGTAAATACCTACTTCGTAAAATTTTTCTCAATTTTTCTGAATATATAAAATGATTCTTGTTTATAAAAGCTTTCTATGTTCTTATAAAACGTGAATATTATAATATAAATATTTAGTCCAAGTGAAAATTATATTTAATGAGCGTTATACTCGTATCTTTTTTAATTAGTTTATTTGATATTCACACAAGTGAAGCGCACCCGCCAGGGGGGATTTATTCAAACTAGGTGTAGTTTAGGAATAATCTCAGTTCAGAGTACTAAAAAAACCGTCCTTAAAAGTACGTGGAATCACGTCTATTTACTAAGTTTTATTGAAATATCCCCTAGTTCGCTACTATACGAGACTTGACACAGGAGATAATAAAAATCGGTTAAAAAAACTCAAAGTATATTGAGAGAAAAACGCCTTGAATTGGAGAATAGCAAAATCAACCATGTAAAATTTAGGTGCTATTTATAAAAATGAATGTTCATGCGTGATCAGCCACCCTTAGACGTGGATAATTTTATACAAAATGAAATGGCACGACTATGGATATGATACCCTCTTTTGTTGGAAAAAAAGAATCATGAAAATCGGTTCACAAATACCGGAGTTATCGCGTAACATACATATAAAAAAACATAGAGTCGAATTGAGAACCTCCTCCTTTTTTTGAAGTCGGTTAAAAAAAGAAAATTGCGAATATGTTGTTACAAACATAAATCCCCTGCAAAAAGTCTGTTATCGATATTACAACACACTACTAAAAAATGTATTAAACAAGCGCAAAAAATTAACAATAATAAATATGTTAATGAAGCGAAAAATAAATGTATGGCAACATGGAATATAATAAATAATAAAAATTGTAATGACAATCAAAATGTAATAAAATGTATTAAGGTAAATAATATTAAAATAAGATAATCCTGTAGACATTGCACATGAATTCAATAACCATTGTTATGTTTGATACGTATCTTCGGAAATGCACAAATGATCTACTCACCTCCTCCCTATTCCTAACCTAAAAAAACGCACTGATTTGAGGGTAGGACATTCCCCGTTTTGACGGGTTCTGGTGCAACTACGCCGCGCTAGCGAACGGTCGCTTTTGACGCGATATCACCAATATCACCGTAGCAGTTGGGTAACGGCAATACGGAAAAATCAACTTTACGGAAAATCATCTTAGCATCTCATCTGTCTGTGAGAGACCAGAGTGGGCGGGGCGACAACCCCCTAACACCTGGGCATACGCATAAACACCGGCGACCGACACATCAATCGAGGGAACAACTCAAGGTCAGTCAGTACGTTCACCCTACCCCATTTTGGCCCCGTCAACCATTTTATCAATTTAACAAACAACAAATCTAAATTATTAAAAAAATGTGATCTCGGGTTGTTAAAACAATAGTTCTACAATATTCTTATCGCTCACTGAAGTTAAAAAAACGATCAAATTGGTTAATAATACACATTCAACAAGGTTACAATGAAATACCTACTAACATCATTAAAGCCATAGATGAAGTTATTAATAGATGAAGTTCCGCGCTACTTAGTTAAAAAATGTGTAGACGAATTTACCCCTTAATTTACTCTACTGATCATTCAATCTTTCCAGAAGGAATGCTTTCCTGAATTTCTGAAAATGTCGCTAGTTAAGCCTGTTCATAAGGGCGACAAAACTGACTTAAGTAATTACCGTCCCATTGCGTTACTGCCAACATCTGCCAAAGTGATAGAAACTGCAATGTCAAAAAGACTCATCGCATTTTTTGAAAAGTTTCACGTTCTGAATGACAACCAATTTGGTTTCCGCAAAAATAGCATTACGGTACTAGCCATATACAGGGTAGAACAGAGCGACCAACAAAGCCGAAAACTGTGAAGAATCTTAAATATGTACTTAACTATACTGGAAGTCTTTTTGCTCTAATAGTAATAGTGTCCGAGTTATTCAATGATAAAAATTTGTTTGAAAAGTCTGTGTTGTCAACCCTACACACTGCTGTTGCAGGCAACTACCGGGAGGCACTCAGGACAAAATCTTTGTAATTTAGTAAGTCGTTGACCTCCGTCGTTGATCAGCACCCCATCAGTCAGCTTTCTTTGATCAATCATCATGTGAACGATGATTAATTATGCGTGTATTTTATTGTATTACTTTGAGAGCTATTAACACCCCTAAATTCCGTGTTTGACGAACCAATATTTACATTTACCGAAAAAATGCACCTCTCATCTTCGGGAGACATGTTATTTATAAACTAAGCGTTGTCATAACTACCTACAACAACTTAAGAAAAGTAAAGTTTTCTAAATGACCCTGTCAGGAGTTCAACTCATATTGTCCGCTTAAATAAACAACTAACTTAAATAAACATAACTAAATTAAGTAAACACGTTCTACAACATACAAGTATTCAAATTACAATAGTTTCGTAACCCTTAATACGGCCCTAACGTAATATTTTACGTAAAATAAGGCAGCCAATCACGTCACTTATCACCGCGTAAAGATGCACATTTGATACCTGTTATCTGTTTTTGGTAGCATAATCTGGAATTGTTTTTTTTTGTACTAGTCTATTTTTTATTGCATTTGCAAATACTTTTAATTTACACTACAAGAATTTACTAACTTTAAAACGAAGAGCTCATTTTAATGAGATCAACATTTAAAACTAAATTTTCTGTTAAATTGAGCTGAGTAGTGGAAATTTTAATAAATGTAATGTAAAAATAAGTAAATCGGTTTTTGGAGGTCTGCAGATCACCTCCACGGTTCGTTTTCTTATTTTTGAATACCGTACAATTCATTAAACGACCTGCATTTAACTTATTTTTACATTTGAATTGCTCATGGTACTTATACCAGACAAGACGATTACTGCGAAAGCTATTTCTTTATCAT